TACACCCACTTTGATGTTTCGCAAGTTCTTATGTAGGCGCTACTTATACAGGTATGCTTTATCTATGAACGCATCGATTAACATTTAAGTAACCTACTAATATATTTAAAAATTATGGAGGTTGTTAACTTATAAGTCTCATTGAACTTGCATTAGGTGTTTTTTTTTATTGCTAATGCAAGCTTGCAGCAATACTGATTGAAAATCCTGATCGCACTTGGCAGGAAAAAGCGATTGGTACTATTGTATTGTTATTTCCTAATACATAAAATCATAACATGAACTTTGATTTTTTAAACCTACTAAACTATTGTAAAAGCACTTTTGCAAGAATATCGCTTATTGGTTGACTCTAATCAACCAGAGGCCTCTTTTACTTAACCACATGCTGTAAAAACACTCCATCGAGAGAGAAAATTGCTATTTTGGGGTATTTCAAGTACATGTATTGTCTCGGACTACACTAAAGAGTGCGGTAAAGCGAAGGAGGCTTGCCGAAAGTGGCAACCGCAAAGAGAGCTGAAACTGCAACACTTTTTTCTGGTCACGAATTCATTTGTGGAGTTGAAGAAGACTCGGGAGTATCATTAAAAAGGGTAAAGAAGGAGAAGTCTCCCCTGCCCACGCAGCTCGGCTTCTTGACCACAGAAACCCTCTTTCAACCAATAAACTTAAGAATTTACTTGCGTTCAACGTTGGCATTGTTTAAAATTAACAGTAACATGTCTCAAAATTTTGCTCACTGTACTATTAAACAATACAATCAGTTTGTACGTATGTTTTTTTCTAATATTTTTGCATATTTGCATCTTACAAAAATATCTGCCCATTCAAGCGAGACAAAAAGGTTATATCCATTAATGGCCTGTATTAATCACATGATCTTTATTGGAATTATTCTTTTAAAAATAACTACAACAAATGTTTAAAATTTTCAACTAAATTATACGTATTCTAAAGATTTAAAAACATGAAGTATCATTGTGATCTCTACATTTTATAACTATTCTTGAACCTCCATAAGAAACCACTGAAAAATGCAGCACTAGAGAACTTCGAAGCAGCAGTATCAACTATCAGTGATGGATGTAAGTTAGCAGTCAGTCATCAATTAACCTTAGTAGTGTGGCCAAATAAATTGTGATTGAAATAATCTATTTTTATTTCGTTAAACAAAAGAACATAATAATCGAATTTTATCTACATCATTTAAATTAGTTCTTTTCTCTACATTAAAACCTGTAGTAAGCCAATAATCATTGCAACTTGGGTAAGTTGTGATATTAAGATCTGATGTTTACGAATAACAATCATGTATTCGTAATCCGAGACTTTGGAAACCTAGACACCTGGATAAATGTTTTCTTAAATTTTAAAACAATTAATCTAGAAATCTGTATTATTAATTTCACCATACTAAATTTCAGCATGTAATGACTGGTTTTCAGTTAACGACCCCAAAAACTCCTAGTTAGGATTTTTGCCATGAGTCGAGAACTTTTTGAAATTTGGTCCTAACTGTTGGATCTGCTATCTTAGATTTATCCATTTATACTGTTTTAATCAATGTAATAAATTATTAAATATATTTTATCAATAACATTCTGCAATTTTATTGTTTTCTAAATTATCTAATGAATAATATTAATGTTTGAATCAGCATATTTTACAATTTTCTGACATTTCAGACTAGGTATAATATACTTGAAAAAAAAAATTGATAATTAGCCCTGACAGATGTTTTACGAATCACTTTACCTTGACGTTAAAAAAATGTTTTAAAAAAGGGAACTTTTCCCTACTGTGCAGGGCCGAAATAAGCTGTAGAAGTCCAGAGAAAGTAGGTGCTTAAGCTCAAAAATTTGGACTCTTACATTCGAAGTACCCGTGCTTATCCGAATATGTATGCATAGAGGTTAAAGCTTACATGTAAAGAGACCACGCTTCTTGATGTATGACAAATCTGTCTTTGTACTACATGCAATACTTTATCACCAACGTGTTGATTATGGTTTCTAAGCCTTTGAGTATACTGAATATAAATAAATCAAATTCATTTTAATTTATTTTATAATAATTTAAGAATAATACAACAATAAATGTTTATGTGGTAAGTATGAGTATAAGATTGACAGAATATAAATGAATACAAATATAATATGTGCCTAATATCAATTATTGGCCATCATACATGAGCAAAAAATGCGAAGAAACTAGGTCATTAAGAAAATTTGTTTATTATTAAGGTACACAATATACGATGTATGTTCCTATCTACACAGACGTACTTGTGTATTCAAGCGATTTATGGATTGGATAAAAGTGGTCAAAAATGGATAACATTTTTTCTACTTGAAAATGTTAGGAAAAACCTACGTATTACCAGTAAACAAAAATTATTTAAAAAATGTACTAAGTCTTTAACTGTTATCAAATACAAAAACATTTTATTTAATTATTATAATTATTGCTTATGTCGATTTCCAAGTAGTTATGTATTATTAAATGCAAAATAAAAATAAAGAAAACTTTATAAGTATTAAAAATAATGACTGAAGTGGTAAAGCTATCAAATATTTATTAACAAAAATAACTTTTGAAGTTTCGGTCCGTACAGTTATATAGATAACAAGGCCCTTATCAGGTACAAGTATTCTGTTGGGATGTAATATGGACCACTAGAGGGGGTAATAAATTTAACATGGCGCGGAAGAGTCAACGCATATACACGCGCAGCATAGGACTCGGAGGCTATTTTTCCTCCGTGTTCAAATGTTTGATGACAATGAGGCCCGTGCGTTTTTCTAAACCATATTTACATCAGGGAGTAGCTCCCGGTGCACTTTTTTTAAACCGTAGAGCTGTGTAACTCACGAAAATCCAAAATAAAATACGCAGCTGCTGATAAAGTGCTGTACCTATATGTATACGAGCACTGCTGAAGATATATGTATACGCAGGAAAGCTACCAGCAGCTGCGTATTTTATTTCAGATTTTCGTGAGTTACACAGCTCTATGGCTTAAAAAAAGTGCACCGGGAGCTGCTCCCTGATGTAAATATGGTTTAGAAAAACGCACGGGCCTCATTGTCATCAAACATTTAAACACGGAGGAAAAATAGCCTCCAAGTCTTATGCTGCGCGTGTATATGCGTTGACTCTTCCGCGCCATGTTAAATTTATTACCCCCTCCAGAGGTCTGCATTACATCCTAATAAACACCAAAAACGCAAAACGTAATAAAACAAGTATTTTAAGATCAAAAATTATATTTAAAATTTGTGCTATAAGTTACACATAAATTCGTCACACAGATAACTATGTATAGCACACAAGATGGCAAGACGGCGAATACACCACTTTGATGTTTCGCAAGTTCTTATGTAGGCGCTACTTATACAGGTATGCTTTATCTATGAACGCATCGATTAACATTTAAGTAATAGTAATAATAATACTATATTTCACCTTCAAATTAAAAACTTATAACATGAGATTACACAGTGACAATCCAAACATGTTAAAAAATTTTTATTGATTAGATCTTTGTAATAAATTTTCTAATTATTCGTATCTAGCTCGCTGTTGATGCTGTTAGAGTTAGCATGGATGTGTAACATTTCAGAGAAAAGTTGTTTGAATCTATTACTTTCTGTATCTGATATTTTTACATTATCGAAATATTAAATATAGTGTGCACATAAACTCGAAAAAACTTGTCTAATTAGTGGTATACAACATACTTATCGATTTGAGAAAGTGTGTAGGGTTTCTCTCAGTGCCAGCCATAAGCTCATGTGTTTGGATTGTAAGACCATACAAGCAATTGTATCCCCTTACATTAAATCTTTACAGCTCAATGCAGTGATATACTGTTGTCGCATATACGTTAAAATATGTGATGTGCATCGTTTGCACTTAAGAAGTTGAATCGTTTTACACTCTTAGGATTGTATTTATGGCATGACATGTCAAACGCATATACTCTTGTCACATAGATAGCATTTGCACTTCTACATCATTAACTCTCGAACTGTCACAGTAAAAAATTTTTCTCAGTGGGCATATACATGATATCATCATCGGTAAAGTAAAAAACTGCTTAGCATTTATTGCAATAAGCTAACATAGCAATCAGGACACTTTATTTTAGGTGACCTTTAAACTATTGGACTACGGTTGAAAATGCACACGTAAGGAATTAGTTTTCCGGGAGATGAAAATTGAGTGAATGAAGGACGGGTATTCAAGTTATGAGCATGGGTTACCAAGTCCCTAAGCAACAACAACTCGAGCTTGAACCATTGTGCGAACATAGCTTATGTAATATTAATAGACGTAGTATGTACTAGCGATTAATTTATGAATTGCTAAACCACATTTCAAGTCTAGGAATTTTATAAAACAAACCATATGCTATACTAAAGTAATTCGACTTACCTATTTTTAAAATCTTGCCTACTTAGACACTTGCTTGATAAAAGATGTCGTAAGAGCTGTGAAGTTTTAGTCTGATGGTGTTCTGACTTTTCTAAAACTGCATTTATGATTTCGTGTACAAAAGAAATGTGTGATGAAACAGGAAAGGACTCTCTGAAAAATTTCACAGCTTCCTGAAACATTAAATATTCGTTAAATAGTGTACTATAATTCAAGTAAATGTCAAAGTTGAAATATATTTTCCATTAACTAGATTTATCTAACAAAAACACATATCGTGCCATAAAAACATAAAAATAATATAGTTCTGCGAGAGAACTTACATCAACTTGAAGAGTTATTTGTGAGATAGAAATTTTTGTTATTTCCAAAACTATCTTTAGTTTTGAAGCATAGATCAAAACTTTACATTTTTATTCATCATGTAATGTCTGTATTTGTAATAAAAAAATATCGATAAACAAAATGCTTGGTTATTGGTAATAAACAACTCAACATTTTTTGTAAAAAAAAAAGAGATTTTCGTTAAAGTTGTAGCTTTAAATATTTATTGATATATTTTCGACTTATTAAATAACTAAAGCTTTGTAAATGCGTGGTTATCTTATTTACCTTTTAACAAAAAAAATTCCGCAAATCATTGGTGTTATTAAAGTAAAAATGCTCAATGCTATCCTTTATATTTTTTTTTTTGAACTTCTCTAGGTAGTGGATATTTTAGTCAATTGGATTTAATATTTTAGTTAGTTGGATTAAACGAAAGCAAACATCTGGTAGAAAACTAAAACACTCTTAATATTTTGTATAACCATTACAAGTTTGCAAGAGAGTATTTTTGACAAATCTAAGCCCATGTAAATCTCCCGTTTAAGTATTATTTCTTGATTTGTCTAGCAGATTTTGCATGAGAACTTGCATGAAAGATTTTCTCATATTGAGTGCATTAAAATAATGAGCTTGTTGTTTATAACAACGTATCTACAAACTGTATAATATTTTTAACAAATAAATACAAAAAATAACGTGTCGTACGCAGCGATAATAATTTACACAGCTAAGAACAAAAACTGCTCTTCGTTACATACTAAGACCAAACTAAATGAACATTTCCTTTACTACATATCTCTTATTGAGTGACAAATCAAGTAGCTTACTCATAGGAATTAGCTGATCCAGTATTGGTGATGAAAAGATGACAAGTTTTCGTGATTGGAATATAATACTACACAATCAATTTAGTTTACTAAAAATCAAAATGGTACATTGGCATAATCACGCATTCATCGCAGTCGGCTGAATTACTAGATTCGGCTGTGATACATAGTGATTCTAGTGAATCTGTTCACGTTTAACCTTTATAATGCCCCCCGTTCTCCACCACATCTGCCATTACAATATTTTAATCATATTTTAAAATTATATGACAGATATATTTGGTCAGTAGGTGTTTAGATACCCAAGTAAGAAGTTTTACTTCTATGACAGATAATATATGAATGGAAATACCATCTATGAACAGATATTTTAAATAACCCACTGCGATGTATCAAAGGTGGTGCAGTTACTGTTTCAATAAGGATATTCAGTATTTAGATGTGGTTTTAACGAATTTTACTAATATATAAAGCAAAGTCGCAATAACAGATGGACCGCAAACCTCGAAAACTACTCAACCGATCATGCTGAAATTTAAAAAAAATAAATCTAGACTCTTCCTATATGGTTTGCGTACAGTTTTTAATTTGAAAAAATTAATAACAATAGTAATGAGTACGCTCTAAATTTTGCAAAAAATGTTAGCTTATCACTTCAGTTTAAAAGGATCCGCAAGGTAGCGTCGAAGTGAAATCCAAGCCACCTGCAATCGAAGTAAGTGGGTCTAGTTATAATATCCCTCAGCAAAATATTTATCACCAAGCTCATTCAACGGCAGTTCAAGAATAGAAATGTTAGTCCGCGCAGCTGGCTATTCCGGCTGACGACGACACTCTACTCCACTGGACAGTTGATTTCCGTCGAATAACAACCTGAATCACTAAGATTACTAAGTGCCATGAAAAAATAGTCCTTCTGAACGCTAACGTTTCCAGAGTAATACATAAAAACGTCCAGCCACAAAATAATTTTTCGCACTGATATTAGTGTGCAAAATCGATTTGTTGGAGGAAAACACCTATTTTCCTCACACTTATTGCGAAAAAACTTGTACGCAACTCGTGCGGGACGATTTCCCGCACTCGTGTGATAGACTCGCACTCGTGGCCGGTGACAGTAATTTGTGCAGTGCTTTCCGCATTTGTTACGTAAATAACTATGTTCTAACACTTAAAAGTTTTATGGCCGTTTTTCCAACCAAATTAGTACTACCAAAGTCCTTTTTGCTACAGCAGCAAGACAGAGAAAATAACCCTGAATTCGGGCAGCCACCACGGCCTCCTCCTCAGTGGTTCGTCCCAACGGCATACCCACAAAAAAGATATTTTACAGGCCCACGTCGGGAGACTAACTATGAGCGGTTGGTTATCCAGGGAACGACTCAAAGACAAAATATTCTTCAGCCAGCAGCGTACCTTCCTCCAGCACAGTCTCCATACGCAGAGACTCCAAGGGTAAGAGTCAAACTACCAACTAAAAATTGGCCAATTTCAAGGCCATCATAAGTATTTACGTTTCCTACTAAACCATTAATCTCGTTGGTTCCTATTACGGCCACCGATGGTTGAACTACCTTGCCAACAAATACATTTTTACTACTATTTCCGGCAACGATTCATCGACTAAAAGACTATATACAGTTGGCTACTATGAAACCACGTCAGTTATTCACTGGTAGACTTATTCAATAGAGTTGCTCGTCTCAAGGCTGGGAACCCCAGCGACCGACTATTCTACATTACCCTCTTAACTTTAAGCATTCAACCAGAAATCACCAATCCTCTTCAAGGTTTGCGCTGAGCGAATTTAACAGCTATAAAGGAAAAATAAATTTGAGACAGTCTATAATGGACAAGCATCACGAACCAATCTCCGCACCTTGCATCACCAAAACAACTGAGTTCTGAAAAAAAAGAAGGTGCTTTGGACACAAACTTCTCCAGCGTAACACTAGGAGACATTAGGAAAAAGCCCTACAACTAGCTTTAACGCTTCAGACGTTGTAGTTTTCCTACCAATTAGTCTGGTGCTACAACAGCAGGACAGAGAAAATCACCCTGACATATCCAGGCAGTCACATTTGCTAGAAACTTTAGTCAAGAAAGAGTTTAGCTCACCGTTCCTATTTAAGGCCATCGGACGTCGAACTACTTTGCAACGAAATACATTACAACCTAACAAAGTTGACAAAAAACATCCTTAGTTTCGTCGAGTTCCTAGTAATAACAAATAGTCACAAAAAGTTATAATTTAACAAACTATTAAATCTTTCTTTTCATGCAATTTATTTTTAATTTAAAAACCAATAATCAATATTCGTTTTGGCGGTAAAGGATTTTTAAAAATATCATTGGAAATTAGAAAAGGGGAAACAGAAACCATAATTATTTATAAAAATTAGATATTAAATAACGTATGTTCTCAAATATTTTCCGATATCTATAATTGTTCGATGAATCGTGTTATACTAACATCGCATAACACGTCTACTTGTTATTTAAATGATAAGATTCTTAAAAAATTAACTGGAGAAACTGAAATCTACCATAGTAATGATACAGCAACTTATTAGATAAATTAGTACAAGAGGGATGTTACTTTGAAATTTAAGTACGTTAGATGGACTGTATAAATAGAACACGATTAGGAATAGTATGATATACAAGGAAAAATAAAAACTGACGAAAAAATACGAAGAAGAGTCTTCAGTACAAAAATAATTCTAAACACAGGAAAAACTGTGACAATATTTTTTATTTTCTATCGTAAGCAATATCCTATCGTTGTGCCATTTGCTAGAACAATAGACAAAATTTAAGGGCGCAGTTTAAAAAATTTAGATTTGGACTTAGGAAAACGTTTATTTTCTTATGATTAATCATACGTGGCATTATTAAGATATAAAAATGCAAGTAATTATTTATTCAAGCTAAAAGAAAAAAAACTACGGAAATGAAAGATATTGATTGAAAAAAAATGTTTGCATGATTATTTGACTATACTAGACGGGTACTTGAAGCATCTGATAAAAAATTTTTTTCTTTCTACGACGAAAACAATTACAATCACTTAGTAATATGACTCTATAATGTGGAAAAATAGTTTTGTCTAAAAAAGTTGACCGCTCTTTTTGTTATTGAACAAATAGTGATAAGTGACCGATTTTTCTCTTAGAATTTCGCTTATAACTTTTTTTGTGGTGGTTGAATTTAAAAAATAGCTCAAGATATTTTGTTTCTTATTTAATTATCTATCGACAAGCACCGGTTAATAATGTAAAACATTTTTTTCACCACGTTATTGTGCAAAAAAGTGCAAAAATCGTGATTTCAAATTTCAACTTTGACACAATCCCAACTGTCACATTTCTCAATGACAATACTTGAAAATTTGGAATTTCACAGTCCTTATAACCGTTTTTAACCACGCAAAAGGATTTTATTTTAATACAAAAAATGACGTCACGTAGCGATAAATTATCTCAAAATTCGTTTGGCGGTCGTGATTATAAAAATGCATGCAGAACAATAATTCTAGATGGACGATATTAAAAATACAAAAGACTTTGATACTGTTAAAAAAAAAAATTTTTTTCTTCTTCAATTTTGACCCCTATTTTTTGTAAAATTCAATTTCTCAAAATAAACAAACTGTTATAACTTTGTTATTTTTGTATGTAGTGGAACAAGATGAAGTTAACGTAAAAGTGTATTTTTTTACAAATTAAAAGAAAAAAAGGTTCCAATCCAATAGTTTTTGCAATAGTTATCAACAAATTAATATTTTATGCAATTGTTTAAATTTTAATTTATGTTTTGACTAAGACACATTTTCTTACACTTTTACAACGTATCACTTATAATATAACGTATCCTATAGATTTTTTAGCGCATAAATAACAAAAAAAAAAATTAATAACAAATTGTCTTTCACACGTTAACATGCAATTTCGGTCCCTGAATATTGGGTTGCGTGCATTTAGGCGTCGTAGCATGTAAATAACCAGTTTTCTGTTTCA